TGGAGACATGGCGATTTTAATGCACTTGGAAAATAATCCTAATAGAAATGCTCTGGTGTGAAAACATAGTCGTTATATGGTATCAATAGTTACGGTTTCATATACAAATAGATTTTTTTTTATCTTTGAAACAGTACAATTAAGTGTTAACTATTATACATCTTGAAGTCCAAATCCATACAAGGTTTAAGAATTTGATATTACTCTGAAATCAAATACGAATGACGAGAAAATCACGGGCAATGACACCGGTCTCTGTGTTGCTATATGAGTTAGTGTGATCGCCAAGCAAGTGTGACATGCAGTGTGGCAGAAGTGTGTAGGAATTTCACTCTTTTCGTGTTCGTAGCATGGCCATGACACTCCCACGGGCCACGTCTTGGGTCGTGTTGGCCACCCTCTTGAGCTGGCCAGCGGAAGGATGCTGGCCAGGATATATAGAGGACGCCGTGGAGGAGTCTAAGGTCGTGCTCATGGCCAAGGTCACCCACCTCGAGGTCCCTCGAGGTCAGGAGACGTACCCCGTGGCCGAGATCCAGGTCAGGGAGATCCTCAAGGGCGCGGACGCGTACCAGGCCTACCTCCTGCCGCGGCACGACGGCCGGCTGCCCCTGGACGACGACGCCACGGCGCTCGAGGATCCCCTGGACGACGAGGAACCCGAGATCGATGACGACATCCTGGAGGTCGAAGGAGTCACGACCTCGACCTCCTGCGCCGGGAGGATCCGCGAGGGAGACACGAGGATCTTCTTCCTGGCCGTGGAGGAGGGGAAGGATCCGAGGTCGAGGCGTCAAGGCGTTTCCCTCCGCGTGACAGCTCAACCTGTCAAGCTCAGTCTGAACAGCATGAGGTGGATCGAGGCGGCTTTGCAAGGTAAGGCCGAGGCTCGTGTGTTTGTCGGTCTGGATTTATTTGTTTACTTTGTGGGTTTTGACGAATGGTAGGGGCAGAATGGAAAATAAATAAAAACATAGAAAAGCGTCCTGATGAGATAAGATATAAATGAATGTCAGTTGATTCTTCATCCATCAAACAGGTTAGGAAAATATTAAACTAATATGTTTCATAGTGTACAAACGCGAATGCTGATGCACATGCAAAAATATACACATACGCATGTATTGTTTGTGTCCACACACACACACACACACACACACACACACACACACACACACACACACACACACACACACACACACACACACACACACACACACACACACACAAACACACACACACAAACACACAAAATACACACACACACAAACAAACACACACAGAAACATACACACACACACACAATCCCCTCCCCCCATACACACACAACCTTCCCCCCCACACCCACTACCCCTTCACCACCCCCTCACACACACACATCCCAACCAAGCATTAAAAAAAAAGTTCTTGCATTCTTCCCATCTTGCAACCCACTCGCACTCGATGGCCGGGGCGGAGCGGAGGAACCCACAGGAGGTCAGGACATAACTCAGGCCGGGATAACGAGTGGTTCCTCGCCTTGTAATTAGGTGTTGAAGTGAGATAAGATGGCGGTTGTTGCTGCTCAACTCCTCGACTTCTTGAAGATACGAGAGTTAATTCAGAACGTGTGATTTGGTGTTGCTGGGTTTATTATTATTATTATTATTTATTTATTTATTTCTTCTTCTTTTGCTTTTGCTTTTCTTTTTTTTTTTCTTTAAGGTTAAGAGAGGAGGGATTGTTTTGTTTTGCGTGTCGATGGAGGGTTGAGATTAGAAGGGAAATGATTGGGTTTATTTGTCGTTAATCAGGGGTCGTGGCTTCAGGTAGCAGCTTGGAAGTTTGAGATGAAATGAATGTTTACTTATCTATTTTTATTTACGGAGAGGCGTCTGCAAGGTGTGGGGGGTGGGGGGGGTGAGGGGTGTAGGTAGTTTCAGGGTAAGCTAGCAGAAACATGTACGTTAAGGATAAAATTTAGGAGCTACTGAATCATTGCATAGATAGGACCAATAATAATAATAATAATAATAATAAAATCATGAATACTACAGAGAAGAGGAACTGGGGGATTACAGGAAAAGCAAAAAAAAGAATCAGGGATTGACTGACTGACTCTGATATATTTGCACTGAAGATCAGAGACGTTACAGAAAACAGAAGACAGATACAAAAACAAATCCAAAAGACCTCTCCTAGCATTCTAATATCAATATCATATAATCCTATTATCTCAAGTTAGATGACAAGATAACAGGCACAGCATCATAATCTTGATTCTAAAAGTTTATTTTGGTAACACAATATGATACAGAGAATAAAGTACAGCTATAAATTAATCTGTAAAGCGTTTATGTGTAACATGTACTGTATAGTTTTCTATTCTCGAGGTTCTTGTGTAAATGTTTATATGAAAGGTATGTTATCTTTTACTACATATCTTATTACGTTCTCTTTATGTGTCCATTTTTTTCTGCCTGGCTGTCTGTTCCTTTCGTCTCTCCCTGTCTCATATCTTCCTCTTTCTCTTTCCTTCTTTCATCTCTTCTTCCTCTGCCTGCTCCTTCCCACCCCTTTCTCTCTCCAAAATATCAGTTTATCTGAGTCGTGGTGATATAACACACTGTCTTGGCACTGCCCCGAACGTATAATTAGAAAATAAGAAAATACAAGAGAAAATAACAAACCTAGAACACAATACAATGCTCTGAAATGATTAAAAAGTGATAGATAAAAATATATAAAAAGGAATTAGTGTAAAACGTCATCTCCAGTGATTCATGAAGGGACCCCAAAAGAGCAACACGAAACACTTAAAGACGATGCTGCCAAAATGATGAATGACAGAAGGGTGATTATGCAACATTACGCAACGTCTAATGACCTCTCTAGGTTGTAGTAGGGCGAACGGTCCACCAAACGAGGTTGTTTTGTTTCAAGGACAGAAAAAACCGTTACAGGTATTTGACTTTTTTTTTTTTCCTTTTGAATACCATCGAATCGTTACGATGAGCTGTGATGTATTTTGATGAAGAAAATTAATCGGATTGGAATGAACGTAACAGAGAGGAATCGATGGATTAAGGAAAACATTTGAGACATCTTACGCGAATTTAAACCCATTCGAACTTATTTTCAGAAATAGATCAAGATATTAACCTCTAATAGAACATTTCTGTTAGACCCTAATATGATACAAATGTATATTTTTTTTCATCTCCTTCTGGATGTTTATGGAGGAGTCTAAGATCATTAAGATAATGAATGGGCGGAAGAATGATTGATCACTTTTCAGAAGACAGGCAAGAACGAAAATTAAGAATGATTATGCTAATGAACAGAACCTAAATAAATCATTAGACTTTAAAAATGGGGGAAAAAGTATCAGATCAGTTGTATACGAGATGTTTTGACGTTATGTTGATAGTAAAAGCGCAACGACAATCATTCATTCTTAAATCAAGTCAAAATTACTCTCATTCATGATTACGTTCGTCACAATCTTTCATTCACAAATTCTGTTAAAGCGAGCCAGCTGATCCATTAGCCTTCATATACTCACTGGTAATGGGCGTTAAATGTTCAGATTGGCATTCGTATGACATGTGATCGTGTGAGTATAATGGGCGTGAATCCTCTATGGTGAGTAGAGTGTTTGACAAGAGAACTGTCAAGTATATCTCAATTGGCAGACGAGTAGATATCGTCTGTCGCATCTACTTTGCTCTCCAAACATACTTCCAGACACTAGGCATACACTCGCGATAGCTCTCACTTTTTTCTGTTGGTGGTTGTCTTACAGGAGTGCTGGGCTTAATTGATGTCTCAGTCGGATTCGCTAAAACAGTTTGGAAGAAAGTTATGTTTATAATGTATGCATAAACAGATGCATATATACACAAACATTGACAGAGAGACACGCTCACACACACACATACACACACACACACACACACACACAAACACACACACACACACACACACACACACAGACACACACACACACACACACACTCACACACAAACACACACACACACACACACACACACACACACACACACACACACACACACACACACACACGCACACACGCACACATACACCCCCGCACACACACACACACATACACACACACACACACACAAACACACATACACACACACACACACACATACACACACACACACACACACACACACACACACACACACACACATATATACAAATACAGTCATAAATAATTTTTATAATCACCCACTCTCTACAGCATTGATGAAAAAATCATAAATTTTCGTTTTAATGTGAATCCTCTCTTGAAATGAATAACGAGGAAATATACTACACCAACAGACAGTTTTCATTGTGAATGCTGTTGAAAGAAATGTATGAGTGAAAATGAATGAAAATAAATAAATCCACAGGAGGCGATGAGTCATTTGACATTTCTATCGTGCAAGTGAATCTGCAACACGTATCTGACGAGCACTGTATAATCGAAACGTCAGATAATTCATCCCGATAATTTTGAAATATTTATTCTTACTCATTCATGTCATGACACAGTCATTCATGTCACTTGTCATGTCAATAGTCATGTCGCAGTTCGTGTCTCGGGAGGTTGAAGCTCATCCCGAAAAGACGTCGATTTCAGACGAAAGAAGGAGGAAAAGGAGGAGAAGGAAGAGGAGAAGGAAGGAGTGGGGGAGAGGAGGGTAGGGGAGGGAGGGGGAGGAAGAGGAGAAGGAAGAGGAAAAGGAGGAAGGAGTGGGGGAGAGGAGGGTAGGGGAGGGAAGGGGGAGGAGAAGGAGGAGGAGGAAGAGGAGGAGGAGGATCCTCGAAGGAGGAGGAGGAGGAGCAGAAGCCAGGCAGGCAGACACACAGATAGATAGAATATATTCATATATCTTACATACATATATATATATCATATATATATATATATATATATATATATATATATATATATATATATATATATATAAAGAGAGAGAGAGAGAGAGAGAGAGAGAGAGAGAGAGAGAGTGAGAGAGAGAGAGAGAGAGAGAGAGAGAGAGAGAGAGAGAGAGAGAGAGAGAGAGAGGGAGAGAGAGAGAGAGACAGACAGACAGACAGGGGGAGAAATTAAAGCATAACAAGAAGAGTAAGTAACCGGAAAGGCCCCTGAATGATCGCTCCATTTATTAAACAGGTGAGACAGCTCGAGGGTTTAAAAGGATGTGAGTCATTATATATACTAATTAAGTCATTTGAGTTAACACATTGGCACGTCGAGGAGATAAGGGTAAAGCTCGATACGCTATGTAAGGAGTACCCGCTGATGATGTCATGGCAAATTTGCATCAGTTTCTTGCGAAAAACTTCTTTTTTTTTTCCTTTTTTTACCCTTTTTCTTTGAATTACTTATATTACTTATATTTCTCTTAATTTTGGGATGCAATGTTCATTTATTTAATATGTTTTCTCCTTGAAATAGAATTACTATAAAAATGTGTTTAGAAACGTCGGTATTCCTTCTCGTTTTCTTTATAAATATCATCCTGTCTCCGTTTTATTTTTCATTACGTCTGTTATGCTTGTTTTTCCTTTTTTTATTTAGTCTTCTGTTGGTTTCTTAGCTTTCTTATTTCTCTGTTAATGTTTATCCCCTTTTTTCTATTTTCTTTTCTAGTCTGCCGTAACATTCATATCTTTCATATTTGTCATCATCTTCACATAGCTACCGTACGTATTTTTCTAACTTTGAAATACATTAGTGCGAACATCTCTCGCCTTCACGCTATACGCCCTTATCCCAAAATTAATTAAGATTCAATAACAAAAAAGGTGCGAGATAGAATTAACAATAATGAAAGTTTCGATACTGCATCTTCAACAGAATTCCGAATAACACTAACGATGTAATTTCAAAACATAAATGATATATCTTGAATTATCAATTTTTACTAATGATTTTTTTTTCTTTTAATATATATCTGATACAATATATCTTGATTTCCTTTTCATTATCCTTTACTATTTTCATCTTATTTTCACCATAATTTAACCGAATTCCCTCTCGGAATTCCTTTATTCCCGGCAATGAAAAACACCACACTTCATTATCGTCATTTCTCCGTATATCCGATTATCCGGACATTAACACGTAACAGAGATAAGAACTGACTTATCGGGACACAGGTAGAGGGGCTGATTACCTGCCACAGGTAATGAACCAGGTAGGCAGAACACCGCCCTAGTACGAGGAGATTTATCATGGTAATAGATAAGAGATGTCGATTTAATTGACACTCTCAGAGGAAAAAATATATTAAGGGAGGTTTGAATGCTCGGTTATAGGAGGTTATAGGAAGTGAAGTTTTTAGGCTGATCATTTGTGCATTGTGGTTGATTTGGGATAAAGGCTTTTGTTGGTGTGGTCTTTTGGGTTGTGGTTATTATGAGGTAAGCATTCGGCGAGTTGGTAGGTAATAGTAGGTAATAGTCTTTGTCTCTGTCTGTCCGTTTGCTGTCCGTCAGTCTCTGTCTGTTTCTGTCTCTGTCTATGTCTGTCTGTCTGTCTGTCTGTCTCTTCTCTCTCTCTCTCTCTCTCTCTCTCTCTCTCTCTCTCTCTCTCTCTCTCTCTCTCTCTCTCACTCTCCCTCTCTCTCTCTCTCTCTCTCTCTCTCTCTCTCTCTCTCACTCTTTCTCTCTCTCTCTCTCTCTCTCTCTCTCTCTCTCCCTCTCTCTCTCTCTCTCTCTCTAGCTAACTAATTATTCCTGTCTCTCTTTATTCCTTCATCTCTCCGTCTGTCGCCTCTCTCTCTGCCACCTTCTCCCCGGCTACACCCCCCCTCCCTCCCTCCTCCCTCCCTCCCTTCCACCCTCTCCCTTTCTCTCACTCCCTTACTTTCCCTTTCCTTCCTTTTTTCCTCTCCTCCTCTCCTTCTGCCCCTGTCTCTCACTCTCTCCCTGTCACCCTTCTTCCTCCTCCTCTCCATCTCTCTTTGTCACCCTCTTTCCTTCTCCTTCCTCCTCCTCCTCTTTATCTCTCTTTGTCACCCTCTCTCCTTCTCCCTCTCCCTTTCCTTCCTTCCCACCTCTCTTCCTCTTCCCATCACTCAGTGTTTAGCCATAAAGCCAACAGGTTCGCCAGCACGCCCACCCCCGGCGAAGGCAACAAGCACGCATCGTGAGGCGCACATTGTCGGATTACAAGCCCGTCCCTAAAGTGTTTGTTTGTACGGCGTGCTTGAAGGCAAAGGGTTGATTTACAGCCTCGGAGACGCGTTCCTTTTTTCTTTTTGCTTGTGTGCTTGTGAGGTGATGGAGTGTCTGTATGTGTCTGTCTGTTTTGTCTGTATTCTTCTCCCTTTTTTTCCCTTTCGGTAAGCGTGTAAATGTGAGATGAGAGAGAGAGGGAGAGAGAGAGAGAGAGAGAGAGAGAGAGAGAGAGAGAGAGAGAGAGAGAGAGGAGAGAGAGAGAGAGAGAGAAAGATATATATATATATATATATATATATATATATATATATATAAATATATATATATCTATATCATGGGTGTGTCGGAGAGAGAGAGAGAGAGAGAAAGAGAGAGAGAGAGAGAGAGAGAGAGAGTGAGAGAGTAGTAAGCTTATGTTTTGTCTGTTTCTACGTCCATCCTTGAATTCCCTCCTTTGCATGTGTGTCTGTTAGGAATTAAAATCGCCTGGCTCTGCACATCTGCCTGTTTCCCTCTTTCTCCCCCCCCCCCCTCCCCATTGCGCCTGCGTATCTGTGAGAACGTAAAAGCGTTCGCCTCTTCCCCCCTCCCCCCCTTTCTCCCTCTACAACCCACCCCCGTCTCCTACCCACCTCCCCTCCCTTCTCTCCCTACCCCCCTCCTTCCACTACGGGACGGTCCTTCTTAAGCTTTATCTTTTCTCTTTTTTCGTCTTATTTTTTCTTTTTTTTGGTGATTATTCAGGTCCTGCTATTGGGCAATCGGGTAAATATAGCTCTTAGTCCTTTTATGAGTCCATTCATTCATAGGGCGACGTGAAAACTGTTGCTTGCTGTGTTGCCTTTGCATGCACGGAGGGAAGTGCTTTTGCAGCTATATTGGCTGAATGGGTTGTCTGATCGTTTAATGTACAAATGCATGCTTATCACAGGTAAATAATGTATTTTACTCGCATATCTACTTA